AGAAGAGAAAATAAAATTTGGCTAGAGGTACATAATTCATATCAGTTTGTATATTGTGACATCTGTAGAATGGAATCACAAAAAAACGGTGTAAAACTGCATAATACTATCGTGAGATTGATATCTGTCCGATATATGATAATAATTTGAAATGATCGAAACACATAAAGACCACTAATCGCGGCTACATGATAGAATTTTTCACTTACCCTTTCTGTGCCTTCTTCTTGCCCATTACTCTGGCTACAACTGAAAATATATCACTATTACCATCTTCACTCATTTCTTGTTTCAAGTTCTCAACAAGACCGATTTGGAAATCTTTAAGTATGCGACGTTCGGTCACTTTGCTCTTCTTGGTGCCCGCAGCAGCAGCTGTTTATATAAATATTATTATAATTATGGGCAGATTATATTATTTTATAATTTACATTGTGAAAGTTTCCGGAAATTTTAAATAAAACGCAAAATTCTTAATCTTCATCAATATTTATTTTATCTCCTTCTCAAATATGATCCATTAGAGCGATACACAATGCAACGTTCTCTTCCAATCATTCAAAACATTTTTATAGGGTTTCCGGTATGGCTTTGAGTTCCCTCTGCGAATTCTGTTTTTCGTCTTCTATGGATTCAAAACGCGTTCCTCTGAGTGGTAATTTGAGTTTGGGAAACAGGAAAAAGTCACACGGTGCAAGATCAGGTGAATACGGTGGCTGTTTGATGGTATTTATTGAATGTTTGGCCTTAAAATCGTTGATAATGTTGGCTCGGTGCGAGGGAGCATTATCGTCATGAAAAATCCATGAATTATCCTTCCACAATTGAGGCCGTTTACGGCGGATAGCTCTCACGACCGATGCCTAGCTCTCGTGCTATCTCTCTAACACTCACATGAGGATTTTGGAACACGATTTCCTTTGCCTTTTCAATGTTTTCGTCGGTGGTAGAGGCCGAAGGTCGTCCAGAACGCGGCATGTCTTCGACGGTCGTACGACCGTCCTGAAAGGCTTTGTACCACTCATAAACTTGAGTTTTCGATAAAACTGATTACCCATAAGCCTTTTGTAGCATTCGCAACGATTCTGCACACGAAATTTCGTTCGAAACACAAAATTTGATGCAAACTCTTTGTTCAATATTTTTTTCCATTGTTTTTTCGCAACGCACTACTGAGGGGAACTGGTTTCAACAGCTGGCGGCCGTAAACGAACTGTCCCTGAAAGATTCTGCGGCGTCATTTTTGGGACATAGGTAATTAAGGACAAGTGCTGCCAAATACATCTAAACTTAAAATATCGAAAAATATACAGCGCGCGAATTTTAAATGAGAATTTCCGAAAACTTTTCGGTCACAATGTATATATCTATCACATATATATTTAAAATACCATTTTAAAGGTATCAAACAATATATTTTTTCTTACCTGCTGTTTTCTTCTCAATATCGGGCACATTGAAATTATTATTAGAGAATATATCCAACAATTCAAAACGTAACGAACTAATATCTTGACGTACTTCAATAATATCATCCTCTGTGATACCGTAATCATCACGACGACGCTGCTCGGCAGTAATGTAGCGACGTATAAGTAACTTCATAACCTTATCATGCAACCCCTGTGCTTTCACCAACGACTTGCGCTGTAAAGGGCAAGAAGAAAAGTGTTCAGATAAATTATTACTAATTCACAACATTCAGCTACATTCCGATTATTGGCGCCACAACAGCTGAGCTAGTGTGACGCAAAACACCTACAAAACAATCTATGGCAAGCAAACCCCATGGAGCAGAAAAGTTAATAATGTTTTGTAATTTATCTAAATAATGCGGTAAAGTAGTATTTTACTCATGCTAAAGTGTTTCGAATAATCACACGTCATATTTGAAATTGTAAACTGTAAAACTTAAAAAAAATCATCAAGCAGAATATAAGCTAAATTAAAACTAATTAAAACTAATTAAAACACTTTAATAAATTAAAAATAAAAAAAATATTTCTCTAATGAACTAATGTAATAAATTGTACTTTTCAATAATCCAGTTCGATCCGTTTCCCTAAGTAACTTACCATAAAGCTCTTTGAACGTTTTCTCTTCACTTTTCCTAATGTTTTTCGCAGCAATTTGATTGAGGGACATAGATTAAATGGTGCTGGTACAGTGCCTCCATCTTCAAAGTAACTCATCCATAATTGCGAACGAGCAAATTTCCATTCAACATCAGCACGTTCCGATATGATTTGATAGGAGTTCGACATCATAGCAATCAACATGTTGAGCAGTACAATAATATTTATTACGGAATACGAACCGAACATCAATAGGGCCCAAAAACGCGTAAAACTCTTTATGCCCGCCAAATCGAAGGAGACCAAATCGACTAAACCGAATGAAGCCCAGAAAAGCGATTGAGATGTTTCGAAAAGACTGTTAAAGAATTGTTCATCTATATCTGTATATGTATTTAGAATAGAGATTTGAAGCATACTTAGAAAAACGTCTCCATATTGTGCAAGCCTTTTCTTGATCGTCAAAGTCAGCTACATCTGGATGCAAATGATAGCACTTTTTCATTTCCAATTCCGCATAGTACCATAATAGTTGATTCAATCCGCAACCAAACGCAAACAATACTAATGTATATATCAAAAAGAACTTAATGATATCGATTATCATACGTCCCAATGAAACTTGTAATGGTCCCAAGTGCGGATTAATAGAGAATATATGTACCAGTTTCAGATAGGAAAATACCATGCCTGCCGCAAATGCACCTTCTGATAACAACATCGGGTCGAACGGATGCCAATGTTCACGCGGAAAGTACGGATCTATATTTCGATACCATAAGTCTCTCTGTAAAGAACGTGTATTTACTTATATAAACTCATACTTTTGATTACTTTAAAGTATTATTATGAATCAAAATAAAACTTAAGAAATTAGGTTTTGTAAAGATCGATTTTTTGATTAAATTTACTAAAATATAATGATAATCCGTACATCGAACTTTAATCTTGAATGAGTTATTAATTTTTTTATACTTACATGCACAATTACCCATGCCGTGGCCCTACAAAGTATCCAAGTTACATAAAACATGTTCGATATGAAATCTACCACATTCCATAAATCTGTTATATAATCGAACAGCCCATCTGCATAAAGAGTTTTCAGTTCGCCAAATATCAAACCTTAAAAATAAGATTAATTTAAATATATAGTCTTTAAAACGGATTCATTTATAAGATTATTCGGTGCTTTTATATTTATATGCTAAGCATAATGAATATATTACTTTTAATGATATATAGTATAGGATCCAGATAATTCAAAATAAAGAAGTGTCTTTATATTAAAAGGCCTGAGAAAATAAAGTTTTATATTTTTAATTACAATTCGAAGAATAAATGCAAAGGTTATTTTAACCTTTATTATCGGTGAATTTATAATTATAGGAATTATAGGTAAAAATAATGAATTTCTTGGTACATCAGTAATAAATCTAGTACATATACCGAATGGATGTATTCTAACAATAATAATATAGTGCAATACAAGACTTTCAAATTAGGTTCAATCAAATTAACTTACAGGGTTTTTTTACAGAACACTGGATTCTGAGGTACCATCTCAATAAAATGGACCTTTCAGAGACACTTATTTATCATTTTTATGAAATAGATATTTTAGCATCTGAGGGCATCTTCTACGAATGCCTTACACTGAGCGGCAGCAGACAAATCCACTTCGGACACAAACATATGGAGCAAAACAAACCATTGTTAGATGATTTTATTCATTGAAAGCCAAAATCTAAACCCAAAAGTGATGGGTTAAACCAACTGCCATCAGACCACCTGAATCACATATGGATGTTTTCAAAGTGAGTGTTCTCGAATTAAAAATACTTATAACAGTAAAGTAATGATACTACCCAATGAGGAAAATTAAGAAAATAATTATAATAGTAGTGCTATTATGTGCTGCCAAGCAACACTTATTTTACATGTAGAGGCTAATCATTATTAATATAGTGTGTATACAATTTAATATAAGTTATTTGGGAGAATTGTAGAAATAGTCTCATGTTGTTATTGTTATAAGTCACTTTATAACTATTTCTGATATCGTTTCTATGGTGCAGTGGGGAAGTGTTCTAACTAATAGTGACACTGAAAACAATGTATAAATTTACTTTCTTTGAAAGTATGTATATTAAATTATTTGAAAATCATGTAAAAACATAAATTTCCTTATAGAGTGTGAACAATAAAATATATCAAGGGGAATAAAGTTTTTTACCGAACCTATATGGTGCAAAGCATCGATGTCTGTTAGAATTCATAATTCATCTTTGACAAATTTCAATGGATTCCTTTAGCTATATATCTGATAACTAATATTTAAAAGAAATTATGGAGTATCAAGTATATTTACGAATAAATCCTATATTATACGAAAAATACCATTTTGCTAAGTTCTAGATATATGAGTTAGTCCAAAAATTGATGTTTTAAGCTAGGCTTATTATTCAAGATATTAATTATACCAATTAAAATAACAAATTCAATTAAAAATAACTTTCTGTTAAATTATGAACAGTTTTAGTTCCTTTCATTTTTAACAATAAGAATTGTTTTCTTACTTACTTGCCACATACATTATTATGCCCAATTCAATAGGTCCTGGTAGAGAGCCTCTTTCATGTTTACGCCAATCTTCTAACATAGCCAACATCCAAGGAAATGCCAACAACTCAAAAGTGATTTGAACAACACGCAATGAAGCAGCACCCAGCAGCACTAGAGATTATAAAGATCGATGTTATAAGAAAGTGAATTTATTGTAATCCAACTTCCTTACTTAAGAAAAACATGTAGGAAAAGGATTGAGAAATGAATTTAACAAAGGGTTTTCTCATCAATTTGCCAGTATCCGAGTCCGGAGCCATCAAATAATTCATACTGTTTATAGGAAACATACAACCGAGTTTAAGAACTTCCATGATTTGCTGGGAAGCTTGCTTACGTCGAAAACCAGGCAAACCCTCATACCAAATTGCGGCCAGTAACTGTTGTACATTAGGATGAGCTACAAACTGTGAAAGAATGAAGACAAAATTAGTTAATAAAAAAGTATAAGTAATGCATAATTCATTTACAGTTTTTTGTTTATATTTAATGGCCAGTTTAAGACGTTCCAGCGTTTGACGTTGTCCCGGCACCCATATGACATTTGAGGGTTCATGGTTGAAATTTAGCATAACTTCCAGTTCTAAGGAAGTGCGTGCATGATCCAGCAGAGATGTTACAAAGTCTTGTACATGTAAACGCATTTCCTGTATAAGCAAAAATAATAGAATATTCGTATTAAACTTAATGGCATTACACTTTTTTATGTAAGCATATGTTGGGCCGGGGTGGACGGTGCGCTGCTTACCGTATATTCCGCACGAAATTCAGATTCCATCGCTTGTAATCTTTTCAATTCCCAACAAAGCTCAAATGCTGTTAATACAGGGTCACGAGAGCTGAGCGCTATTAGCGAACTGGCAGTTAGGGCACGGTATGCGTTAATACGGGACTGGGAATAGCGCAGTGAGTCCGCTTCTTGTGATGTAACGCAGACATCACAACCACATCTGTAAATTGCATTAACATCAGTTTTTGTGTTGATAAATTCAATTTTGAGATAAAAAAAAAATACAAAAAAGTGTTGGTGCTTTTCAAAGAATTACTAAAATTAGCGAGATAACATTTTAAGTAAAAAAAGTAACATTATTTTGTAGGTAGCAAAACTCAACCAAAACTTTTTATCCGAGCTATTGTTAGTTTTCAGTTGTGCAAAAATGAGAAAATAGTTTTTTCTTTGCTATTGCCAATTGAGCACAAGTTGCAAAATCATTTTATCAACAATGTATCTGGCCACTTTCAGCAAGATACCAAGTACAACAAATGGATGCCAGAAATATTATTGTGACAACAAAACTCCAAACGAAAGAAACACGCCTGAAAAGTTTTAATGTCGTTGACCAAAATATGCAAAATTTAGCTTAAAAATCACGTAAAACTATTGCAGCAGCAAATAAGAAAACGTGCCGAAATGTGTGCCGCTTAGCTAAATGCCACTAATTTCACAATCAGTGCAACAAACCCCACTGCAAAATGGCAATACTACATGAAGTGCAAGCACTTATAGTGCATAAAACGAACGTTCACCAATCCGACACAGATACACTGGTAAATAGAACGGCCAACGGCAAAGGTAAATAGTCACTAAACGTGTACCAAATGCACTCACTTGACATCATGCGGCATTGGTAATGTTGCTCCACGGTCCAATAATAGCCTCAAAATCTCGTAATTGTTGCGATGTGCAGCCAATATTAATGGTGTGATATCGGCTGTAAATGTGGATTTGGAGCGGTCGACGGCTTCCCAACTCTATTAGTAATGAGAATGAAATTATCAATTGTAATACTTTTGCAAATAAACATTCATTGTTTTATGACGTACGTATGGTTCACCCTCCTTATGATGTGTTTCTTCCCATTGGAGTAACTCCTCCACAGCTTCTACATATTCTTCTGATATGGCATGCAGCAGCGCATCACCTACATCAATGCCATAATCAAGTAGTACGACAATTAAATCAAAATTTTCATTTTCAATCGCAGATATAAGCGCAGAACGATTCATTGGATCCACACAGTTAAGATTAAATTTATCCGGTTGATCGCGATAGGTTTCAATAATTCTATTAAAAAAATGTTCATTACAATATTAAAAAATATTACTTAATAAAAAAGTCACCAACTTTTTGACACCCGATAAATCACCACGTTCAGAAGCTAATATAAAATTCTTCTCCACCTCTGATAAGATATATTCTTCTGCCATAACAATATCATAATCAGCTTGGTGGCCCTTTTCGGGGTCACCTTCTTTTTTTCCAGCCATGCCTTGACTGTTTCGTTACTTCTAATGCGACGAAAGGAATATATACTTCTTTCTATATTTCACTTTTTGCAATCAAATACGGTTAAACTAAAGATAAATATATTAAAAAAAAGAATTATTAAATAAAACAAACTAAAAATTATAGTATAATTATAGTATTATCATTCAAAGAAGAATCTTAAGAGCACATGACTTTAATATTAGTATTTACATATACTTATTGTGTTGTTATTATCTCTCTTAATATCACTTATCATAACATAATTAGACATAGTATTAACTGTGGACTAGTAAATACTATTATTATAAATAAATTTAATTAAAATAGGGGAAATACCATCATTATGGTCTGTCATAATACCTATAAATCTATAATACTATAGATTTTTAGTACTAGCATTATGTTGTTATCTTGAAATTGAGTTTTCGATTGCTAACTTTGTGGTAAAATGTATAATACTCCAGATTAATTTTTAACACTCTAGATATTTTACCAGAGTAGCAAGATAACCCTAGAATTAACAACTGTTCTATATGATTTGACAGATAAACTGTGACTTCAATCGATATATGTTTTTTGTAAAAAATATGAGTGTCTACTAACACTACTAAGAAATTGTAGAATCCAGATTTACCAATCGAAAATCGCTACAAGAAAATGATTATAGAAAAGTTTTCTATAGAACTAGATATGTAGTCAATTTGTCTAAATTCGAGTTCTTCAAAAGGAAATTCACATCCTCATAATAAAAACTTTTTAGTTAATTTGTCAAAATTGAGTTTTTAAAAAGGAATAAAGCATCATCCACATCCTTACGATAACAGTAACTTGTTGGATCTTTAATAATGGTGACTTTGTGGTGTCCACCTCTGTTGTACCCCAATCATAACTGCTGGCTCCTTTCTACATAATGTGAGAGTAGTTTCGATGTTATGTTCTTCACAGAGTGTTTTATCACTTTTTATATTTTTCTTTTCAATTCTATTAATCTAACGAAGTTATTCAGCAGTACGGACTTAGAATAAGGAATAGGTATCAAATCGAAAGCAATGTAACCATTCGATCACCTAATTCATTCTCTACGACACTGTAGCGACCAGGAATCAATATTATATGGTCCATTGCTTTATGTCTCTAAAAAACTACCAGGACAGCCGAGAGCTTCGTGAATATTGACTGTAGCTGCAAACGCCGATGAACTTTCCGCTTTATTTCTCATTTATATTCCAGCAAACTACTCTTATTTTCCGAAGCCTTCTATTAAGAAGACTATTGCGGTAGTCGATGGAAAAGGAATTTGATTTCGTCGCATGAGAACCACCCAAACCCAATATGATTTTAAGTTATATTGTTATGAGTCCATGGTGGACTGTCAGTCCAGTGTTTGAATTGAAGAGTGAAGGGTGAATAGAATCAAAAATTTGCTTTGATTATAGACAAGTCAAGCATAACTGTGGTTTAATATATGCTCTGCAAGTCAATGTGATATATTGAGTGTAGGAAGTTAATATGCTGCCAGTACAGTGATTGTATTGAAGAGTGAGAGGCGAATAAGACTACACAGTTGCTTTATTTTTTTTTGATTGTAAACGAATGAGACATAACTTTGATGATATGTGTATCGTTTGAACCATTTTTGGTCCGATTATTAGCCATCTATTAGAATTGATGTTATAAAAAATTGTAGCAGGTTCGTTGGCTCTTCAATTGCCAGGTATGTCTATATGATCCAGTACTCATTTTGGGTTGACTGACTGATTATAAGTAAATAAGTCAATATAATTACTTTTAACTAAATAAAAATTAATTAAATTTTTCCTTTTCTTAATTTTTCCTAATTAAAAATGAATTTTAAACAAATTGACTACTCATGCACAAATAGCAATTGGAATACTAAGACGTCAGTTTATAATTTTTTATTAAAGTTCGTGTTTGAGCTAATAAATAATATTACCCCATGACATAAATTTCATTAATGATCATGGATTCATAAATTGAACTTTTATTCAAATTAATTTTAAATTTAATTACCAATAAAATTAATATATTTGTTATTAAGGAAAAGTGGAATTTAAACATAATCATTAATACAAGTTGCGATACGGGTATATATGGTAGAGACATTATTTATAATTCGTGTGATATATTGAAACGTCAGCGAAACTAAAGTTAACATTTATTAATTTTTAATTAGTTTTAGACTTGCGTAAATAATTTATTATTCTAAAGCATAGAGGAAATGTCAAATACTCAAATAACCAGCTTAGCTTTAACATTTTTAATCAACTTTCTAATTAAGAAAACTACATAATTTTGGTATATCAACTAAATAACTTTTAAAATAATAACTACAAAATATGCATTTATTCTCAACTTTTTTAAATTATATTTTATAAATTATTTTATTTCAAAATTTATAATTTTGAAATAAATTTTAAAAGTTTCATTTAAAATTTTTTTCTTATATTTTTTTGATTTAAGGTAAACATAGAAGTTGTTTGCTATTCCTCAGCGTCAAGTTAATTTAATCATCAGAACTGTTTCAAGAAGGAATATTTTATTTTAATAAAAATTTGAAGCAATTTATTTGAATTTTTTAATTTAATATTATACTAAATAATATAGTAATAAATCAGTCCGTTTTCGTGACATTTTGCCCCTATGGCATTTTATTTAGAAATACACATCCTATTAAGATGAATGGAGAACTATTTGTATATGAAGGTACTCTCTAAAGACAAAGACGGCTTATAATAATGTAGAATAAAATGAAATTAAAAAATTGAAATGTGGTGAACTAGCATTGAATAATACTTAATATATACATATTGGTACCGACTTATATGTTTAATGCATCAAGCCGTTTTATAGGCATAAAGCTTTAATAATGAATATACTGTTCTAATGGAACCTCTTTCTTGACATATTACTAAGGAACTTATATTTTTATTTATTTATTTGGAATTTAATTAATATCTTAGTCTTTCGAAACTACACACCAAAATTATTTGAGGCATACCCTATGATGCTTTAATGAAGCGAATCGCTTCTGTACCAAATCTGCATCTAGTATAGCTTAGATGTTAAAAATTTCAAGAGCACTGTCCTGGACGTGTATGGAGAAAGTATTTATATCAAAAGGTGCTTGAAATTAGCTCTTTCTTGTACAGGGCACTGAAATGAATGATTTAAAGCGTATTTAAAGCACTTAGAGGTTGCTACGAATGGAGTGTTTTTTTTTATTTGCAGTCCCATATAATTCCTTTTTATTCCTGATCTGATATAACACTATCTTTGAATCTATAAATACATTTCTTTTGAACATATCGCATTATTTCTATTAAGGTTTAATATTATTAACATTATTGTTTAAATATATTACTATTTGTGTGTTAATGTTTTAATGCTTAATACAAAAGAAAGTAATTTAATAAATTTTTTTAATTCAGCAAAATAAATATATAATATTTTACCATTTAATATTTTCCCGGTATCAAATCTCTAAAGCATCATTAACTCTTCAACAAATACACTTTAAAGAAATTACAAATATTTCATTCGTACACTAAAAAAAATATGCACTGTTTTAAATATTTAAATTGCTATATGAAAAGTCTTTTTATCCATTTGTCCTTGCATATCCTTTTAGTCCTGTCTTATATGTCTTCAAGTATATTCAACTCTTCTTACTTTGTAATTATTTAGATCGTTTCGTTGTTTTTATTTTCCGTTTCGATGTTAACCGTTCAAGAATTCGCGAAGCACTGCAATCATCCAAGTTTGACTCTTGGGTATATTCCACTAATTACATTAGTGACCACAAAAATCGGTCATTGGAAGCTTACATAAACTAGTTCAAGTCACGTTTGTCTAACATCGAACACATGACTGCAAATTTGTTCTTAAGTGTATAGAAGAAACATCAATACCTAGCTCAATTTTCCAATATTTGCACCCTGTATTTTAGGTGTTTCCGTTCTCATATGTGAACTCGTGCCTAAGCGATAACAACAATTTTGAAACTTAAATGCATTTTTCAGACATAGTTTTTCTCTTTGAAAATTCTTTTCTTTACAAAAAGTTTAAAATGGACAGCTTGGAATCGATATTGGAAGCCATACCGCTTCTAACCTCGTTTATAGAAATGTGATGCTTACAAAACAAATCACTTGCACTTTCGTGCGATTATCATGCGGCATTTTCAGCGTAATTGGTAGATTTAAATAAACATTATGTACTTTATTTGCTTTAATATATATATGTATTTAATGATATTTTACTAATATTTTGTAAATACGATATAAAACTATGTTTATATACAAGAAAGTTCCTAAGGAAGTTTCTAAATTTTCCCATTGAAGAATGAAATATTACTACAGACAATAAGCGTGGCGGCTTTACAATTAACTGATTGAATTCTCCAATCGAAATGAAACTTTTGGGATTATTTAGATACTCATGACCAAATATACGATATATAGCAAAAGTATATAAAACATATTATACATAAATGACTGTATTTAAAACAGCGTGTGTGTTGTCTTTGACATAGGGTTTTGAATCAAATCACACTAATTTCTGATATACAAACGCAGTTTAAAAAATATTTTAAAAATGCTTAGATATTCCATCTTAAGAATACAACAACAAGTACTTCTAAGAATCACAAAATCTATATGGGGTTTTTTTCCATCCAATAGCGCTAGAGATCAATACGTCAAGGCATGAGTACAACCAGCCAGATTAATCTAACCTTACCTAACATAAACATTCCCGAACAATTGATCTATTACGGATTGCACGAAGGAGATAATTATACTCAAACAGAAATGGTTTTTTGGAAAAACTTTTTTTTATTATTATTTACCTTTGTCTTTGAGTAATTTTAAAATGGTTGGAATATAATTCGTATGCAAAAGCCGACAATTAAAACTAGTGTTAATAATAGGGAAGTTCCTGGTATATACAAATGTTGATAAAAACATTGCCTAAAGGATTTTTTCCAACATCATTACTTTTTTTTGCTAGCAAATCGTTTATTATTTAAATCGATCTGAATCCTATTTAGACTTATAACAATTCATTAGAGAATTATATTTAGTAGAACTTTTGACTTACATGCTAACACCTCATATGTTACTTGTCAACGACAAAAACTATCGTATAAAGTATCGCCTAAGAACCAACCGGTAATCAGCCGATGTCTAAATTTTGTCTATTCTTATTATCAAAACCACAATACTGTCTTCATGGTACAAAATCAATAAATATTACTTAGTACTTACTTAAACACAATCTTTGCTACAAATTTATCTATAAATAATAGAATACTCAGTCCAAAAAAAAAACAATCCCATGGGAAAATATTTATGTGAAATTTTATAGACTGAAGAACATTTCATAAAATAAATTTAAAAAATATTAATTGTATGAACTGAAGAACATTATATAAAATAAATTTAAATAATATTAATTTTAGCTATATTCATTGTAAAAATATCTTTCAGAAAAAAAATTCTGTTTCTATATATATCACATTTGACCTACAGCACAATTACATATTATTGAACTCTTTCGAAAACCTTTCAGTTTACTTTTCATACTATTTTCCACCATCTTTCATTTTTTCTTATGTACCTTAGCCAGTCTTACTGCAGACATGTCCATGCATACTTGGCTTGAAATGTAGACATCTATGGCTTCCTAATAACTGTGTTAGCAGTAAATTCTTTAATCACATGATGTATGTATACTAAAATAAAAAAAAACGTGTATTTAGTTTTAGTTACAAATAAGTCTCAGAATGCTGTGTCTTCTTAATAGCTTAGTAACTAAAAACT